CCCCTCCAAAAGGCCCTCTGGCGAGGCAGGACAAGGAGGGAGGAGGCCGAGGAGGGGGGCGCGAAGGGGGAGCAGGAGAAGGACGAGGAGGAGCACGAGCAGGACGAAGATGAGGACGAGGAGCACGGGGAGGAGAGAAAGGGAGCAGGAGGGCGAGGAGGGCGAGGAGGAGGGCGAGGAGGACGCGGAGGTGGAGGAAGGCGAAGAGAGCGGGGAGGAGGAGGACCGGGAGGCGGAGGGCGAGGACAGGGAGGCCGAGGAGGGAGGACCCGCGTGCTGGGCGCCCCCCCGGCGCCAAAAACGCGTCACCGGCTAAAGCCGAAGTCGAGCAGGTTGGCCTCGCGGGCTGACTCGTCACTGAATCCATGGGAGAAATCGCATGGGGGCTGCACAACATGATGTGTATATATTTGTATATGCACATATACACCGCATATATATATGTATATATACATACCGCACATATATATATATATAATATGTATACACAAATGTAATATAACATTGGATATGACGATACATGTATATACCTGTACGTATATACATATACGTATTTCATATATACACATATATATGTATGTTTATAGATATATGTATATATGTGCGATCGTACACATATGCAATGGCCCCAAAGCTCCAATGGCACAAGATGGTCCAAGACGGCCTTACATCCGCACTGCACGGCCCAAGAGGGCCCTGAGAGGCCCCCGCGAAGCCCAAGATAGCACCCCAATGGCCACCCGACGGCCCTCCAGCAGAAGGGAGCGGACGAGAGGCGAGAGGCCCCTTGCGGCCGCAGACAAATACACGGCTTTTCACGTCCCGGTCGCCCTGGATACCACTCTTCTGGACGACGATGATGGCGACAGCGACGATGACGACGACGACGACGCCTGGTCGCTCCGCGGGATCGGCAGCGAGTAGGAATGGCGATGTGTTGCAACAGGTGCAGCGACATCTTGGTTCAGAGCTTCGCGCTTGAAAACATGTCAAAACCGCTGACCCGATGCGACTCAAAACCGTTGCCGCGACGCCGCTCCGACGCTTCCGACGCGGCCCGAGACGGCGCCGTGTTTGCCCCAGACTGGTCCCGCGCCCGCCGCGACCCCAGCACGAAATCGCCAACGCTGCTCCAGCCTGGACTCCCGAACGCACTGCTTTCGCGAAGCTCCAGCACCTCGGCCCCCGCGTCAGAGCATTGGGCGCTTTCAGGAGGGCAGCACCTAAACGAAGGGGTCCTGGGACACACAACTAAATACACACAAATACAAAGATTCCCCATATCTTCCCATATTTGTGGGGTCTTCGTCTTCCCCCCCACTTCCCATATTTTCCCATATTTTCTCGGGAATCGACGATTAACTGTGTCTGTCCTCGATCCGCCCAACTTCCCCAAACCGCGCTACTCATGGGAACCATACACGATAGAGCTTCAAGCAAAGAGCCCGTGACAATGGCAAGATCAATTTAGAAACGGCTCGGGGGTCTGAACTGGCAGGGACCCCAGAAAATCATCCAGGAGAAGGGATGAAACCAAATCCGCTCAAAATCTGTCCCCAGACCCATCCTGGGGTCCGTCTGGGGCAAAATTGCAACCCGGATCCCGAACTGAGCCCCCAGAGGCCGAAAAAGCTGGAGAACTGAACTTTCCCAACCCCAGAACCTTGACCTTTGCAACCCCTTCCTGCCAGCGGGGACGAGTGCTGGGCCACTCCGAAGATCAATGACTCCAACGAGACGAACCCAGAAATGCGACGTCCTGATCTGTTCAACACGGGGCCCCTGGAAGTCCAGCAGACCCTTTCCCCGGGACCGGCTTCTCACCCTGAGTCGTTTTTGGACGGCCCCGAGGCCCGGGGAGGGCTCCCCAGGACGGCAACAACAACAACAGAAACGCCATGTTATTTTTCATTAAAAAAGTGTTGAAGCGTTTTTTTAGTAAAAACAATACAAAAGAAAAACAACACAATATGTTTATATATATATCTGTATATATATAAAGAAAATGCAATGACGACTGGGAGTGCGACAGGCGGCGCGCGGCGGCGGCAGAGGGCCTGCCGCCGGCCGCCCCTGCCGGTCGCCGACGGCCGCAGCGTCGAGGGCCGGGAGCCCGGCCGAGAGCCCCGGGCCTCGCGGACCTCCTGGGCCACGGGGGGCCACCGCGCCGCCGCGGCCGCCGACGCCCTGCGCCGCCGCGCCGCCGCGCCGCGCCGCCGGCGGCCGCTGGCGGCCGCGCCCCCGACTGGGAGGCCACGTGCGAGCCCTGCCCCACCACCCCGCGGTTGATGGGCCTGCCACCACCACCACCACCACCACCACCACCATGAGTTGGATGGGGGGAAGGAGGAGGAGAGCGAGGAGGTGGAGGACGAAGACGAGGAGGAAGAGGAGGAGGAGGACCCCCTCCCCCTCCAACTCATGGCGGTGGTGGTGGAGGAAGACAGGCCCATCAGCGATTCCCAGACACGGTCGCATCGTTTAAACAAAAAGCAGGGCGGGGGGGGGTTTGGCCGTCTTCGGCCCCAATGGGGACCCTCGCCGGGCCTCGGGGCCGTCAAAGAACGGCTGAGGAGGAGAAGCCGATCCGGGGAGTCGGGGCTTCCAGGGACCCCGTATTGAAAAAATGAGGACGTCGCATGTCTGGCCTCCTACCGACTTGACAGAGCGCAGAAGGGGGCACAGCAAGACGAAGCAAGGACGAGGATAACACCGGGTGAGGATAGGTCAAGAATCTCTGAGATGCGTCGGCTCTGGAGGATGTCTCGGGCGCCGCGGCCTTCTCAGAGCGTTCCAGAACGCTCTGAGAGCGTTCTGGAACGCTCTGTCTGCCACGGATTTATCCTGGTCCTCGCCCCGTCCGACGACTTGGCGGCGCGAGCAACACGGTAGGGGGAGGGGGTAAGGCCTCGCAGAGGGAGGCGGCGGTCCTACATTTTACAGACAATGCCCACGCCATCCAAGAAGCAGGGGGGATGCGTCTAAGAAGCCCTCCCCCATCCCCCACACCCCTTCTGCGCGTGGCCGACTGACATCCAAATACCTCCAATAATGGGAGGACAGCGCACACGCAAGCCCAGAGATCCAGCCTATGGTGCAAAGCACGACGGGGAGGTGTGCCACTGGAGGCCCTCACTGGGCCCCAAGGCTGTCAGATCACCACTCGGGACAAAAACCCGGCCCAAGGAAGGAAGCGGGACTTCTGGGACGGCGCATTGGAAAACTCAAGACACCCGGCTCTGGAAATTAAGACGGAGCCAGGAAACGGAAACGGAAACGGAACGCCGCTGCGGGCATGCGCCCGGGCCCCTTAAGGGCGAGGCGGGTGAGGCCATGGCCTCGCATGAGAAGCTGCGCGCGTCGGGGGTCTACTCAGGACAATGCGTACTTCAGGAGCTGATTTCCCGACAGTCCCCACTCATCCGTTTTCTCATGATGTTGCCACGTCGTCTCGTTGAAATCGTAGTGCTCAAGTCGGGCAAAAAGAAGTCGGCGGCTCTGGAGGATGGATCGGACGCCGCGGCCCTCCCAGACCCTTCCGGAACGCTCCGAGAGCGTCCCCAAACGCTGTGGAACGGATGCGTCCTTGCCCCAGCCCCACCAGAAAAATTACCGGGGATGCTGAAATCTCGGGCTCTGATCGTGATTTCTCGCGGCGTTGCGTCTTTCGCAGCGCCGGATCTCAGGGAAGCGGGGCCGCAGAGAGAAATCCGAGCCGTAGCCCGCCGGGTCCGGCAGCCGTTGAGCCTGCAAAGTTCCCTTGGATCTGTCTAAAGATCGCACTTCCGCCTCAAACGCCAGCTGCACTTGTGGTCCGGACGGCCACGACCCCGTACAGGAAAAAACACTGCGGAGCACATGGCCGTGCTCTTACCTTTGCACGTGGCTTTCCTCACCGCTGCTGCCATTGCACTGCTTTGCTATGGGGACCCTCTCGGGATGTCGAGGTTGGGAGCTGCGGCAGAGCGCGCCATCACACCATGCGACTCCGAATCCCGCACACCCTCTGGGCGTGAGTGGTCTGACGAGCTCGTTCTGCGAACCGCCCCCCTCTTCATACCCGGCGGGGTTCAAGAGACCCCACAGACTGTCTCAAGAGGGGCCTAGGAGACCCCCAAGAGGCTTCCGCAGCGGGTGCAAGATTGTTCCAGCTGGGCGCTGCTGGGCCGCATGCTGTCACACGTCCCTGATCAGGACAAACCGCCTGTTGACTATGTTGGGATGGGCCGGTTAGGGATACTTTTTTTTTACAGCCGCAGGCGGAAGCGCCAGCGGCGGGAGGTCGCGAACGGGCCGCGGACGCGACTAAATTACCTAACGCGCGCGGGGCCGCGGATCAGGCGGCTCATCCGGATAGGGATACGCAAAGCGTTAAAAATTGTAAGCACTGGTTTTCTGCGACCAGGAAGGCGCCGAGATCGGTGCGCTGGCACCCGCTACAGCTGGAAAGCTAGCGCGGCCAGACGCGCGGCGCATGGCGACGAGGAAGGGGGCAGAGGAATAGGGAGAAACATATCCTCTGCGGGAAGGAAGGAGGAGGGGCGAGACCGCGAGGCCTGCAGGACTCGCGCTGCAATTTGTCGCGGAAAGCCGTCTCGCGGGGCCCTGCTGACCAAAGCCGGATGGAGAAATCAGCACGTCCGATAGTCTCACCGAAATCGTTGGCCAGCTCGATAGGCGACTTCATTGTCCACCCGATGCTCTCGAAAGAAAGCGCCATGGCCCCGATAGGGGCCATCCGCATTTCTTCACGAAACTGAACCTCACTCTGTGACCCGCATCCTGATATCGAGTCCCCCAAGACGCCCTGAGAGCCGCGAACTTCACTCGGGCGCTCTAAGATCCTACACTAATTCGCCCACACCTCCTTTTCCTCCTCCGTCTCCTCCTCCTCCTCCTTCTCCTCCTCCTCCTACTCCTCCTCCTCCTCCTCCTCCTCCTCCTCCTCCTCCTCCTCCTCCTCCTCCTCCTCTTCCTTCTCCTTTTCCTCCTCCTCCTCCTCCTCCTCCTCCTCCTCCTCCTCCTCCTGGGGATACCGAACAACGCAGGACACCGCGGAATGCCAGCACGAGGGCCCCCAATCGGGATATGAGCAGCGGGGTGGGGCCACGCATGCCCGAGGCCAGCTTTGAGGACCCTGGCGACACCTCCGCACCCCCGCCTGCTCAAAACCCGCGACGCCACGGACCTCCGACGCCTGCGTGGCCCCCAAGCCAGAGGGCCCGTGGTGGAAACCCTCTCGGAACACATCTGGCCCAGTGTGGGCCTCATCCTCTTGAGCTCGAAGACCCTTTCGGGCGTTGGCAGAACTGGGTTTAGTGATGTGTACGGGGGGGCGCCCCCCCCCGCCCCGTTCCACTAACCGGAACTGCCGTCACCAAAAAAAACAGCAACTACGGCAGACCTGGTTTAGTGATTCTGGCCAATTTAGGGGCTCCAGGGCCCTACTACTAACCGGGTCCCCTTACCTGGGGTCCTGGCTATACCTAACCCTTGCTGCGGAAAACCCCATGCGCTTCTTGAACTCGGCGCCGCGGCCCGCCTGCCATCAAGGCCGTCCCGTCGCCGGGCATGTCCCCCCACGGGCGGATTTTGGACGAAAAATCAAAAATACTCTAAAAAACCATTACTCCGACGGTAGGACCCCACACGAGAATCTGTTTAGCTTACCCTTTGCCCTTTCCTCCTCCCCCTGGCGGACACCCTCTGCTCTCGCCCCCTGCACTGCCCTCTCTTCCCCCTTATATTTCTCTTCCTCCTCTTCTATTTCTCTTCCTCCTCCTCCTCCTCCTCCTCCTCCTCCTCCTCCTCCTCCTCCTCCTCCTCCTCCTCCTCCTCCTCCTCCTCCTCCTCCTCCTCCCCCTCTCGCGCCACCTCCTCCTCGTCGTCGGCCTCCCCCATGCCCCTTCCCTCCTCATCCCCCTGCCTTTTCTCCATGTGCACCTCCCCTTCCCCCTCGTCGGGGCAAGCAAATCCATTTTCCTCAGCGCCGTCGCCGCCTCGGCCAGCGCCTCGGGAAGCGGGCCCCATAGGGAGGGGGCTCCCGCCTGAGACTTCCTCGCAATTCACTCACAGACGAGGCTCCCGCTCGAGACTTCCTCCATATTCAGGTCTCAAGAGCCCAAAAGTGACGACAGTTGCACGTTGCGGATGACCCGCTCGGATTACCAACATGAAATGCGGGCCCCATAGGGAGGGGGCTCCCGCCTGAGACTTCCTCGCAATTCACTCACAGACGACGCTCCCGCTCGAGACCTCCTCCATATTCAGGCCTCAAGAGCCCAAAAGTGACGACAGTTCACGTTTCGGATGACCCGCTCGGATTCAAACATGAAGTGCGGGCCCCATAGGGAAGGGGCTCCCGCCTGAGACTTCCTCGCAATTCACTCACAGACGAGGCTCCCGCTCGAGACTTCCTCCATATTGGCCTCAAGAGCCCCAAAGTGACGACAGTTACACGTTGCGGATGACCCGCTCGGATTACCAACATGAAATGCGGGCCCCATAGGGAGGGGGCTCCCGCCTGAGACTTCCTCGCAATTCACTCACAGACGAGGCTCCCGCTCGAGACTTCCTCCATATTCAGGCCTCAAGAGCCCAAAAAAAGACGACAGTTACACGTTTCGGATGACCCGCTCGGATTACCAACATGAAGTGCGGGCCCAGAGGGAGGGGGCCTCCCGCCTGAGACTTCTTCGCAATTCACTCACAGACGAGGTTCCCGCTCGAGACTTCCTCCATATTCAGGCCTCAAGAGCCCAACAATGACGACAGTTACACGTTTCGGATGACCCGCTCGGATTACCAACATGAAGTGCGGGCCCCATAGGGAGGGGGCTCCCGCCTGAGAATTCCTCGCAATTCACTCACAGACGAGGCTCCCGCTCGAGACTTCCTCCATATTCAGGCCTCAAGAGCCCAAAAGTGACGACAGTTACACGTTTCGGATGACCCGCTCGGATTACCAACATGAAGTGCGGGCCCCATAGGGAGGGGGCTCCCGCCTGAGACTTCCTCACAATTCACTCACAGACGAAGCTCCCGCCTGAGACTTCCTCCAGGTGAGTATGTGAATGAGTGAGCGTGTGACAGAGTGCGAGTGGTGATGATGATGATGATGATGATGATGATGATGATGATGAGATGATGATGATGATGATGATGATGATGATGATGATGATGATGATGATGATGATGATGATGATGATGATGAGTATGTGAGTGACTGAGCGTGTGAGAGAGCGCGAGTGATGATGCTGATGTTGATGATGAGAGAGTGTGAGTGAGTGTGAGTGTGAGTGAGTGGTGATGATGATGAGTGAGTGAGTGAGTGTGCGAAGGCAGAAGAGGAGAGGGGGTGGGTGAGGGTTCCTGCGCGGGGTGTGCAGAGAAAACAAGAACCCCACTTTGAATGTGGGGAAAATAAACCAAAAATGTGTCCCCCGTTTTTTTCATTATTTTGTAAACATGCCCCCTGCAGAAGGACAGGCTCGACTTAATCCTAGGTCGACGGCGCTGCGGGTCCGGTCCGCCTCGCCCCCGGGCCCCTCCAGCAAACGACAAGCCCGCCACGAGAGTCATTGACCATGGCGCTGAGGCTGCTCGAGGTTGCCTTGATCGACCTAAGACTCATACTCGTGGCCAACATCGGGCCAAGAACTCCCCTCCAAGACAACTCGTGGCCTGGAACCGAGAAAGCCGAGGGCCAAGCCTCCCTGAGCTTCGCAAAAAAAGGCAGTGCGTGGGCGAACCGGTTCAACTGGTTGGCAAAAACCTCCCCGGCACATCTGACACCTGGTGAACACGATCAAAACCATGAAGGATCCCCGTGCAACAGAATTAACGACGTCGAGGAGCTCATCTCTGCCGATGGACGCAAAACTGAGCCAACTTCCACCTCGTGCTCCTCAACTCCTAGTCGAACCTCCGTGGACCTCCGACCCGTTTCTCAAGCCCACCAGGGGCACACTGGTGTAGACCTGCCTAATGTGCGACCCCTGGGCGTTACTGGCTCTCTTGAACCTTCTTCTTGTCCTTCTGGAGAACGTAATGGTGCGCTGCTTCTGCCTCCATCCTCGACCCTTCTGGCCCTCACTGTAACTTGCCGTGTCGTCGATGCCTAGGTTGACTGCCGACTCCACCAAAGCGGGGCCTCCATACTTGCCAAGGGCCCTGCGCACATCATGTCCCAACATCGCCGACGATAATTATGACTGAGGCCTGTTCTACCTCGGATGTCATTTCCGATGTAAGCCCTAGGAACAACTCGGCTCAGACATGAATACTACCTCTCGTTCCTGACAAGCTTTACCTCCAGAAGATATACCATAAGCGTTTGTGTCAATGTCGAAACTCGTGCTTCGAGGAAACTGATTCGTGTCGCCCGTGGGTGTTACATACACTATCACATACATAGTGGCTAACGAGCATCCTGTTATCACCCCGCAGCTAGCGAAATGCGGGCTGTGAATGACGCTGGCCGTGCCGAAATACCGGTGCCCGAGCTGAGCCTGCGCGCTGACACGCTAGAGCTGCGGCGGGAACTGTATACAATCCGCTCCACCTCCCAGCTCGTCTAAATCGGGCTGGGCGACAAGGGGGGGGATAGCAAAGAGAAGGTTTGAGAATCAGCTCACGTAGCTGATGCTCCTGGCGCCTCCCGGCGCTGGAGGCACCCATGTATCGAGGAATAGGCCCGGCGGCGGGACCGAAACCAGCTGCATGCAGCATATTTCGTAACCCCCCCTTCCCTATCCCCCCCCTTTCGTTCGGCCCGACTAAATCGGTCGACGTGGAGAAATGTTTGAGGTCCCACAGGACCTTGCACGCCACCGAGTCCCGAGGTATGAGGGAGAAAGGGGGGGCGGAGGAGCGGGAGGGAGGACGAGGAGGGCGGCGAGCCACTCGCCCTCCCGCGGGCTGCCACGCTCCTGGCTGCCGTTCACCGACGTCGTGTCGCTCAGCTGCACCACCAGCTGCCGGCTGGGCCGCGGCTGTCTTCCCTGGCAGGGCGCGGACGGCTGCCAAAAGACGTCAAGGACGTAGGAAGAACACGGCGTGAACCGAAACTGCAAGAGGGTGAAGGCGGAAGGGGGCGAGGACAAAAGCACCGACAAAAGCACACCTCAAGAGGGCGAGGAGGAGGAGGACGACGGCGACAGCAGGAGCCAACCATGCAAACCTTCGGGGGCAGCTCGCTCTGAGAGCCTCTTGGAGGCCTCTTGAAAGCCTCTTAGGGGAGGGCTGGAGAAACGTAGCATGAACATTCAATGTTCGGTGGTATTTCGCTCTGAGAGCCGCTTGGAGGCCTCTTGAAAAACTTTTGGAAGAGGGCTGGAGAAACGAAGCACGAGCCAACCGTGTAAACCTTCAAACCTTTGGGGCAGTTCGCTCTGAGAGCCTCTTGGAGGCCTCTTTGCGTCTGCGGCTTGGAGGCCTCTTGGAGGCCTCTTGGAGGCCTCTTGGAGGAGGCCTTGGAGGCTTCTTTTGCGTCTACGGCTAGGCAGAGGGCGACGGCGCTGGCGATGAGAGGCTTAAACGGGGATGCCGCGAGAGCGAATGGCCACCATGCAAGAGTAGACGAGCGCGTTCCACTACTCGCAAAGTAACTACTCGCAAATGGCCTGGATCCGCCGCGGGGGATCTACCATAAACCACATCAAAACAGGCATGTAGGTTTCGAGCGCTTGCGAGTAGGCACTTTGCGAGCACTGGAACGCGCTCGGTGAAAGAGGAGGACGCGGAGAGAATGCGGCCAAAGGAAAATAGGAACGGGGCGGATGGCTCAGGGGTCAGATCGCTCCCCGAGCGTGAAGCACAGCACAAACATACACTTTCTTCAAATGTCCGCGCGGCTCTCGTAGGCCGGCGCCGGACGCCCCCCGCTGCCCCGGCAGGACGGCGGGAGGGGGCGGCGCCGGCGCGCGAACTCTGCGCGGACCTTCGGCAGTGCACGCTAGACTGCCTACCAGACCACCCCAGCCCAGTCCGACGACCCGAATTTCGAGTCGGCGGGGAGGGGCACGGGCTTCATGTGTGGTTCTTCAATGTTCCCCGGCCCCCCTCCCCCCCACACACTGGAAATGGAAGGCCAATCGGGGCCCTCGGGTTGGGCTGGGGTGGTCTGGTGGGCGGTGAATGTTTATGCTATCTGCAACAATCTTCGATATCCAGACGCTTCGGCCATTGAGCCAGGTAAGGCCAGATGAGCGGAGGGGAGCGGAATTAGATGGGATCCTGCGGGAGTGAGCGCTGACGCGCGAACTCTGCGCCGACTTTCGGCAGTGCACGCTAGACTGCCTACCAGACCACCTCAGCCCAGTCCGACGACCTGAATTTCGGGTCAGGTTGGGGGGTACAGGCTTCATGTGTGGTTCTTCAACCACACACACAGACACACACACACACCGGAAATGGAGGGCAAATCGGGGACCTCGGGTTGGGTTGGGGTGGTCTGGTGGGCGGTGAATGTTTGTGCTATCTGCAACAATCTTCGATATCCAGACGCTTCGGCCATTGAGCCAGGTAAGGCCAGATGAGCGGGGGATGGAGCGCAATTATATTGGATATTTCGGGATCGAGCGGCATCATGTCAGATTCGGCAGATTTTCGACCACGGACATACCCGCGCCAATGCTGAATGTAACCTCCCAAGGAATGCATCCAAAGCAGATAAAGAAAAAAAAACACCGATACCGCTGCGTCCCAGACCGTTCCTGGGGGGGCGTCCTGACTAAAATTTTCAAGCGAATCCAGCAGTGGCGGCGAGGGCCTTCCAAGAGGCCCACATCATCCTGGCGAAACACCACACCATATGCTATTGTGAATGCCGTGTTGTGGCACTGTTCCGGTCGAGCTCCCAACGGGGCCACGAACGGTGTGAGCGGTGCGGCAACTTGAAGCGGCGCCGCCATATGGACCCTGCTACTGCAGCCTTCGATGGAACTCCGAAGCGTGTGAGCGGTGCGCAAGAATGGGGCGGCGCCGCAATATATCTGCCACTAAGGCCTGCGGTGGAGCTCCCCACGGGGCCACGGACCATGGGATGGGTGCGCCACAATTGGGCGGCGAAGCCATGTGGACCCTGCCACTGGGGCCTTCGGTGGAGCTCGCTATGGGACCACGAACCGTGGGAGAGGTGCGCCAAAATGAGGCAGCGCCGCCATGTGAACCCTGCTACTGCGGCCTGCGGTGCAGCTACGAACCGTGTGCAGGGGGGGCGCCATAATAGAGCGGCGCCACCATGTGGGCCCTGCCTCTGGGGCCTTCGGCGGAGCTCCCTACGGGGCCACAACCCGTGCGATGGGGTGCGGCAACTTGGGGCGGCGCCGCCAATTGAACCCTGCTACTGCGGCCTTCGGTGGAGGTCCTATGGGGCTACGAACTGTGTGAGCGGTGCGCAAGAATGGGGCGGCGCCGCCATGTGGACCCTGCCACTGGGGCCTTTGGTGGAGCTCCCTATGGGGTCACGAACCATGTGAGAGGTGCGCCAAAATGGTGCGGCACCGCCTGGGGCCTTCGGTGGAGCTCCCCATGGAACCACGAAACGTGTGAGGGGTGTGCCGACATGGTTGACTGGTGCGGAGGGCAGAGGCAGGGATGGGAGGAGGGAGGAGGGAGGAGGGAGGAGGGGAGGAGGGGAGGAGGGGGAGGAGGGAGGAAGGAGGAAGAGACGCGGGGCGCCGTCTCTTCAAAACGAGGAACCAACACCACAGGACGGTTGGGAAGAAGGGAGAGCGAGGGAAGGGTAGCAGTATGGGCACTTGTTCCTCAGCCGGCGAGCGTGGGTTCCCAGATGGCCAAACTTTAGGTCGGGCGTGTCCTCCTACAGGCGGATCCTGGACGAAACATACAAATACTCCAACAAAGATTCACAAATACCAAACAATACTCAAACATCGTCCCCTGACTGTTTCCCGGCTACTTTTGAATACTCCCCCTGTAGAGGGACAGGCCCGACTTAAGCCTAACTTTGCACCCCGCGCCCTGCGATGCACAACGACCCGCGGTGAGCCCCGCGTCCTCTTGCGCCCTCGGGCCGCCCTCCCTGGCGAGGGGCAGCTGCCCTGGCAGCGCCCACGACGTAGGAGGGCACCAACTGTACACCAACACCGATCCTGGCCAGGATCACCCTGGGCCCAGGATCGGTGTATACGCCCTCCTGTCTGGGGCAGGAAGGCATATACACCGATCCTGGGCGCAGGATTGGCCTGGCCAAGATCGGTGTAGGTGTATAGTTGGTGCCCTCCGGCGAAGATCGAAGCACCGAGGGTGTGCGTGCCCCCGCGGGCGAGCTGGGGATTCCGCGGCCTCCCCACCTGCTCGGTCGGTTCCCAGTGGGGGGAATCTCAAAAGGCACCCATGCCGCTGCTCCCCGGACCTCTCCCAGGGTGCGCTCTGACCAGACCTTCGGGGCGAATCCGGCGGTGGGGGCGCGGGCCGCCCAGGAGGCCCCAAAAAGGGAACACGAGGCGAGGGCAGGGGTATGGGGTACCACTTCCTCCTCTGATCTGGGAGCCTCCTCGCCTCGGGCTGCTTCCAATCAGCAGCTGCGCGCCACGCCGGGAGCGTGCGGGGGGGGGGAGGGCGTGCCGGGAGCGTCCCCGAGCGGCCGCTGGAGCCCCAGTGGCTGTGCGGCCCGAGGGTCACCAGAGGTCCGCCGGTCGTAGCACAAAGCGCAACGGCGGGAGGTCTTCGGCGAGTTCGGCTTCCGAGGGCGCCTCAACGCGGAGAGGGAGGCTCGGCTGCCTTTCTCCCCGCTGGTGGGCCCCCTTGGCTCTTGGCGCAGGGCGCCTGTGCGAGGGAGATGGCCTCCTTCCGATCGCCCCCGGGTCCTGCAAGGGCCGTCAGAGGACGGCCCTGGCTGCGGAGCCAGTCCCAAGGAGGGGAGGCCCAGCCTTCTGGGGAGCCGCGCTGCAAGCAACACAGGAAGGGAAGACGTCTGGGCTCCCGTGGGAGAACAGGAAGCGCACCACCACCACCCTGAACGGCGGCAGAGAAGGACCCTTACGCCAGGCGGGGCTGTATCGAAAACCCCGACGGCCCAGACAGCCCCCCAAGAGAGCCCCTCGTGAGAGCCCCCATAGAAGAGCGAGAAATGTCACGTGTTACCAGTACAGGTCGGCGCCCGACCACAAGAAACCTTCCACGGGAAACCCAACCCTGAAACCCCAGGACGTCCATCGACTGTGGGATGTGGGAACGTCACGCTTCCCGTGGCAAAACCATCGAAACCCAAGACACCCAGGGCACCCTGGAGGGAGGCGAGCAGGGTGTTTCTTGGCGTGGGTCTCCGCTGCTGTAACACGTGCCCCGTGGCAACGCGCGGGCAATCGTGATCCCCATGGGACTTGAACCCAGCCCACGAGCTGGAACTGCCAACACCAGGGTCGGGGAGACGCAAGACTCGGGTACGGGGGACTCGGGTTGGCCTGACGGGGGCCGTCATAAAAATGACGAGACCCAATCTGAAATTTGACGCGGGCTCCCGCTGCAGACATATCACGGGAACGGGATAGTCAAAATCCACGACGCCTCGTCAAAAAAAGTTGGCAAACCCGAGTTCCGGCTTACTCGAGTCTTACGTCTCCCCGGCAGGGGAACAGGCAGGCCTGTGCAGAGAGAGCTGGCCACGTGCGGGAACCAGGCGCGACCGCCGGCAGACACGAGACTGCCGTGGCCGAGCGTGCCCCCTCCGCACCGCGGGCCGCACTCGGCTGGGGGGGGGGCCTCGCGGCGGCACCGCCTGCTGGGAGGCGACGCGGGCGGCGAGCCGTTGCCGCCAGCAGCCAGCAGGGCAGGGAACTGTGGCACGGTGCGAGGTCAGAGCCTCGTGGGCGCAGCCCGCGGGAGTGGTGCACCGGGCGGGGTCCAATTGTCCCGCAGCGTGGGGAGACGAACTCTATACACCGACGCTTTTTCCGACCCTGCGCCGAAATTCGCACAGGAACGCGGATCCTGGTGCATACGGGATCTTGGTGCATACATGCTTCGTTGTGTCCCTGGGGAAACGGGGGGAACGTATACATCACACCACCCCGACGTCGCCGCCGCAAAAAGTCTTGGGATGGAAAAAACAGCCCGCCACACGTTCGAGTGGTAGCGCCAACTCTCCCTGTGGCCGTGCCGCCCGACGTGTCGCTGGCCGGCGACGCCTTCGCGGCGATGTTGGGACCAGCGGCTGCGGCGTGGCAGGTGCGAGGCAACGGCGGAGGCCGCGAGAGAGGAGGAGGAGGAGGAGGAGGAGGAGGAGGAGGAGGAGGAGGAGGAGGAGAGGAGGAGGAGGGGAGGAGGAGGAGGAGGAGAGGAGGAGGAGGAGGAGGATCACGGTGCGGGGAGACGTAGCACGGGCCGGCCCGAAAGATGGGACTGCGCAGCCCAGCGGCAGCCGTGGTGCATGCTGGCGGTGCGAGCATGGGATCGAGAGCTCCCCAGTGCAAAAGGGACGACCTACTAGGCAGCGCGCGGATCGGAACGCTCGCGGCGCCGCCCCAACCCAGTGTGGCCCTCACCTAGCGAGAGGGAAGGAGGGAAAGAGAGAGAGAGAGAGAGACTGAGAGTGAAGAGGGGAGAGGGACGGTTGGGCAGAGAGAGAGAGAGGATAATGTATGTATGCATACTGTGTATATATATATATACATACATACATACATATGCCTATGGAAAGAGAGGGGTAACAATACACGTTTACACAAATTCCCCAATCAGTGCTTGCACTGAAGGGGTCCTCGCATGAGTTGAAGGATTTGCCGAAAAAATCCTGCCGATGTTGGTCGCACGCTGGTTCCCGGGTTCCTGGTTCCGGGTTCCCGGGTTCCCGGTTCCGGGTTCCAGGCCGATTTCGGAGGGCGGCGCGGTTCCTTGGTTCCCGGGTTCCTGGTCGATTTTCTTATCGATATGTCTCACCATCGATCTCATTACCCACTTCTCTATCGATCTTACCATTGATCTCACAATCGATCTCACTGTCGATCTCACAAGCAATCTCACTAGAGATTGCATGAGCGACTCGCGATCGATCTCACTATCGATCTGAATGAATCGATGTCACTCTCGGTCTCACGATCGATCTTACAATCGTCTTCATTATCGATTCCACGATCGATCTCATCATCGATCTCACAGTCGATCTCAAGATCCATGGTATTAATTTTGAAATCATCCACTGATAGGGTTTTCTCAAGTGCAATATACATCATAAATACAAACATTTCCATAAAAAGGAAAGAAGAGAGAGAGAGAGGGAAAGCAAGAGCAATCTAGAGAGAGAGAGAGAAAGAGAGAGAGAGGGAGATATAGAAAAAAACAAGGGCGAGGGAGACACAGAGAGAGATAGAGAGACCGGGAGAGCGATACATGAACCAGGCTGCAACCAAAATGCTAATGGCTTCAACCCCAACCGAACCCCGCCGATGGGTGCCCCCCCGTGGGTATGGTGTTATGCTGCTGTGCCCCCCCAAGGTGGGTTTAGTGTGTTGCTGCTGGGGTCCACAGACTGTCGTTTTTCAAGGTTGTCGCTGTCGCTGTCCTCGTCGTCGTCCTCCTCGTCCTCGTCCTCGTCGTCGTCAAAGACGTCGTCCTGGGACCATACGCGTGTATATGCATATATATACATATATATGAACAGATGAATATGCATTGGATCTGACTCTTAATAAAACAGGAAGAAATACCATGCGGCATGTACACGTTTATGCCGATATTTGCCGAGTGAGATAGAGAGAGAGAGAGAGATTGAATACATTGCATACATCCATGTTTCAATCCGTGTATAGAAACAGAGAGAGAAAACAAACAAACAGAAGTAGCGAGATGCGGCTCCTGGGGCGCCTCTGCCTGCTCCGAGCCCTTGCGGAAACTCTCCAGGTTGAGCCCCATCTGGTACCTCCGAGGGCTCCCCTCCGGGGGGGGGCAAGCAGCAGGGAGGGGGGGGGAGGGGGGGGGGAGGCGAAGGGGTGGTCTTGACTCGGGTCAAAGCACGCGCCCCTGCTCCTATCGACGGACTGGCCCTGAGCAACCTGGTCAGGGAGCAAAGACCACTGTAATTGCAGGCCGTCGGCTCTGCGATTGCGAGCGGGGCGGTGAGGAGGCGAGGAGGGGAGGAGGCGGGGCAGAGGGCGAGGGGTGGAGGAGGAGGGGAAGGCGGATGGGCGAGAGATGGGGAGAGAGAGAGAGAGAGAGAGAGAGCGAGGGAAAGATAGGCATGGGGAGGGAGCGAGAGAGGGGGAAGGGATCGAGCGTCGGAGAGCGAGAGGAGAGGGGGAGGCAGAGAGAGAGAGGACGATAGAAACGTAGAAGGAGGAGGGCGGTGGACGTGAAGGAGGAGCAGAGGGGAACGTTTTTGTTGGGGGGAGGGAGAAGAAGGGAGCGGTCACCGAACAATCCGCTGCCCCTCATGGGGGCTAACATGCTCCAGACGTCCAATGCAGCTCCCGCGCAGAAAGGAGAAGAGGGGAAGGCGAGGCGGAGAGCAGATGCATGGGGCCGCCAAGGCGGCGGGTTACCACACGATGGGCCGCGACTTGTCCGAGCGGTCCTTGCGGGGGGCGCGGGGCGCGGGGCGCGCGGGGCAACGCGGAGGGGTGCCCCACGACGACTGTCAGCGTCTTCCCCAAGCCGATGCCATGACTAAGGATAGCCCCAAAAACTAGTCCCGCCAGGGCGCATGGCGCGGGTGGTTTAGAGAGACACGTAAGTAGCTAGTACAACCCTCTTCTTCCCCTTCGGCGAGGAATTTGCCCCTCCTCCCCCCCCCCCGCCCCCCCCCCACCCCACGTCGCAAGGCCTCCTCCCCTGGAGTCCTCTTGGGGGCCTCTGTGCCTGTTTTGGTCCATCAGAAAAGGATCTCTTGAGCGATCTTGGGATCACCTCGGTCCCGAAAACCCATCGGAAGAAAACGCGTCTAGGCTGAAAACACCAAACCAGATCAACAGGTGTCGATGCCTGTGGCCTCTCGGGGCCATCCTGGGGAGGATCCGTGGCCCTCTCGGGCCGTCTAGTAGTGGTCTGGAGGCCTCTTGGAGGCCTAGTTGAGGCCATGTTGGACCATCGCGTGTCATCTTGGTGGCAGCCTTGGAGACCACCTCGCCGTGTGCTGCATTGCCGTGGCCAAGCACCATCAGCAAGATCAGCGTCATCAGCGTCATCAGCAGCATCGTCATCATCATCATCATCATCATCATCATCATCATCATCATCATCATCATCATCATCATCATCATCAGCATCATCATCATCATCATCATCGTCATCATTATCAGCCTCATCAACATCATCAGCATCAGCAGCATCATCATCATCAACGGCATCATCATCATCATATTCATAATCATCATCACCACCATCATCATCATCATCATCGTCATCATCATCATCAGCAGCATCGTCAGCATCATCATCATCAGCATCGTCATCATCAGCGTAATCAACATCGTCAGCAGCATCATCAGCATCATCAGCATCAGCATCAGCATCAGCATCAGCACCAGCATCAGCATCATCCTCATCCTCATCATCATCATCATCATCATCATCATCATCATCATCATCATCATCATCAGCGTCATCATCATCATCATCAGCAGCAGCAACAACATCAGCATCAGCATCAGCATCGTCCTCATCAGCATCAGCATCGTCATCATCAGCATCTTAATCAGCATCATCAGCAGCAGCATCATCAGCATCATCAGCATCAGCATCAGCATCATCATCATCAGCATCATCAGCAGCAGCATCATCATCACCATCATCATCAGAATCAGCGTCAGCGTCAGCAGCATCATCATCATCAGCATCAGCATCATCATCGCCAGCATCAGCATCATCAACATCATCATCATCAGCATCAGCATCATCAGCATCATCAGCATCAGCATCATCATCATCATCATCATCATCATCATCATCATCATCATCATCATCGTCAGAATCGTCATCATCAGCATCATCATTATCAGCGTCATTATCTTCATCATATAATCATAAGCAGCATCAGCATCAGCAGCAGCAGCATCGTCACCAGCATCATCATCATCATAAACAGCATCATCATCAGCATCATCATCATGGTCATCATCATCATCATCATCATCATCATCATGAGCCTCATCATCAGCAGCAGCAGCATCATCATCCTGATCATCATCATCAGCAGCATCATCATCAGCAGCATCATCATCATCATCAGCATCATCATCATCATCAGCATCATCATCATCATCATCATCGTCATCATCATCCTCAGCCTCATCATCATCAGCATCAGCATCATCATCATCATCATCAGCATCATCATGAATCGTCATCATCATCAGCAGCAGCAGCAGCATCAGCATCATCAGCATCAGTATCAGCATCAGCATCAGCATCATCCTCCTCATCATCAGCATCATCAGCATCATCATCATCATCCTCATCATCATTATCTTCAGCAGCATCATCATCAGGTGAATCATCATCATCAGCATCATTAGTATCATCATCAGCATCATCATCGTTGTCGCCATGAGATCACCATCACCGTCCTCGCCCTCACCCTGGCCAGAGGGTCGGGCGCGGGCCTTGCCGGGCCCCAGGAAGGTGGTGTTGGTACCCAGGACGGACATCCCGAGTCGCTGGGGGGGGGGGGGGGCAGCACGATGACGATGGGGGGGAGGAGAAGGGGCCGGGGGGGCGGAGGGGGAGGGAGGGGGATGGGAGGGACGGGAGGGGGGGGAGAGGAAGGGGCAGAGGGGAAAGGAGGGGGAGGGGGGGGGGGGGGGAGCAGAGGGGAGAGGAGGGGAGGGGGGGGGGGGGGGGGGGCGAATGTGGAGGCGAGGGCGGGGGCAGAGAAGCAGGGGAGGAGCGGCGAGGGACGAGGAGGCGGAGGGGGGGTGGGAGGGGGGACGGGCGACAGGAGACGGAGGAATTGGGGAGGGAGAAGGGAGATAACAGGGGATATGTCGACCCCTACCCCAGGCTCTGGGAGGTCTTCGACAGGACCAAAAATTTTGGGCCCAACCCTGGGACATACGATGGAGGGCGTCCATCCTCGATAAGGGGTGCGTCCGAATAGCCCCCGTCGGCCCGTTGAGGTGCATCCCAGGATTTCCCTCCGGCGGCGAGCGAGGGGGGGGAGTGAGAAAGAGGTGGTCTTCTCAGAAGGCAGCAGGACATCTCAGAAGGCCTCCGGCCTGCTGAGAAGTTGTCTGTGTCTTCGGGGACAGCTCAGAAAATTTCTCGGAAGGCCGGGGGACCTCCGAGCCTGTTGGGAGGGCCCGCTCCTGCCCACCTCCCCGCCTCGCTCGCCGCCGATCCTTTGCTGTTCGGACCGGCCAGAGACTTCTCGGGCGGAACCCGGGGCTCCCGAGCCTTCTGAGAAGGCATTCTCCTGCTCACGTCCACCCTGGGCTCGCCGCCGACCTCGGCACCCCGACCCCCGACGTCGTGACTCTTGTCCCAACGTCGACCCCCAAAGGTCTGGACCTATTTCCCCAGGCTGGTTTCTCGCCCTGAATCCTTCTTCGACGGTCCCGAGGCCCGGTGAGATCGCCTGCGAGCGGAGGGGGAGGGGCAGGACACGCGAGAGGCGGGGGACGGAAAGGGGGGGCGGCAGGGGCCCGCGGAGGCCGAGGGAGGGGGGGGGGGGCGGCTCGGTCTGCGGCCGTCCCGCGAGGCGGGCGGGGCGGCCAGATCGCGTGCCGGGGGGGAGGGGCTCATCGGCGCACGCGGGGGGGGCCTGCATGGAGGGCCGCCAGCCGGGAGTTCCGGGCGCCCGCGGGCGCTCCTGGGCCCTCTGGGGGGGGGGGCGCCCTGTCCTGGGGCGCTTCGAGAGGTCAACGAAGCGCGTGGTTCGTTCGGGACGTGCATGTCCAGCACGGCCCGAGATGGCCCCGAGGACCGTCCTGCAACCCTCTTGGGCGCCAGATCGCGCGTAGGAAGAGGATCGGTGCACGCGGAGGGGCTTGCATGTGGGTGGGAAGGAGCAACAGCAGGAAGGTCTTGAGCAAAGAATTACACCAAAGAAAAGCCCCAATCAGTGGATGGCTTGATCATGAGATCGATCATGAGATCGATCAGAGCTCGATCATGAGATCGATCATGAGATCGAGATCGACCGGGAACCCGGGAACCCGGGAACCCAGAACCCGCCGAAGTCGGCCCGGAACCAATGACCATGAGAACCCGGGAACCTGGAACTGGGATCCCGGGAACCCAGCCGGCTACCAACATCGGCGGGGAACTTTCGTCAAATCTTTCAATATCCGCAGCTGGAAAACGTTTCCCTTGGCAGCGAATGGAGAAATCATTCCAATTTTCTCCCGCGATCGCGCTGTGTTGCCGTGGTGTCTCACGCCTTCCGCCTCTGCCTGCGGAGCGAGGTGCCTCCTAGACTCCTCGACCGGACTTGGCTTGACTTTCAGTATCCGCTGGGACCCCGTCAGAGCAAGCACTGATTGGGGAAAAACGTACCGATGCCACGACTCCCCAGACCACTCCCTGGGCGAGATCTGACCAGGATTTCGGGGCGAATCCGGCCGTGGCGCCGAGGGACGGGCAGCGGCATCGGCATCCCTTCATCCTCTGCGAAGATAAGGCGACGACGATCCGATTATGTGTCTATATACACACATATGTAACATACAGGCACGCATACACACAATTATGCATGCTTGCATGCATACATGCATACATGCATGCATGCATAAACACATGCATACGTACATGCATGCATTACAATACAATACGATACATTACATTACATGACTTTGCATTACATTACATGATATTACATTACATTACATTACATTACATTACATTACATTACATTACATTACATTACATATCATTACATTACATGACATTACATTACATTACATTACATTACATTACACTACACTACAGTGCATTACACATTACATTACATTACATCGCATTACATTACATTACACTGTATTACATTACACTGCAACACATTACATTACATTACAGTATGCTACATTACAATGAAATGCAAACTATTACATTACATTACATTACACTACATTACATTACATTACATTACATCACATTACATGACATTACATTACAGTGCATTACACTACATTACAATACGTTACATTACATTCCAGACATCACATACATCAAAGCATCCATCCATATATCCATTCATACATACATACATACATACATACATACGGACAAACAAACAAGCATCACACACATGCATACATGCATACATACAGACATACGTATACACATCCGTCCATGGGTCCATCCATCCACCCACCCACCCATCCATCCATCCATCCAGACATACATACATACATGTGTAAGCTGTTCATACGTGTACAAAAGCCAAACACACACACATGTGTGTCTGTATTTTGTATATATCCTCCACCGTGCCTGGAGGCACGAAGTTGAGTGTCCTCAAGTCCTTTCAGTTCTCTGCATTCCGCATCAGGGGCCACCAGCCAGGCCCTCTTGGGGGGGGGCCCTCTCCTGGGCCGCTACGAGAGGTCAAGAAGGGCGTTGTTCGGATTATGCATGTTCAACATGGCCTGAGATGACGCCGAAGACCGTCCTGCAACCCTCTTGGGCGCCTCCTGTGCCGTCTCGGAGGCCCTGCAGGGCGGCACAAGAGGCCAAAATTTTAAACATGCAAACAACAAAATGGTTTGCGCATGGTTTCTAGCATCACCGCCTTTTTGGTCTTCAGAAAATTCAGGAGGCCCAAGAGTCGCCCACGATTGCCTAAAAACTGCCCACACAAGAGGGGCCTAAAGAGGCCCCCAAGACAGCCCAAAGGAGCCCAACAAAAGGAACACGAACTGACTCTGAGCCCTTCGCCACAAGATGGCCCCAAGATCCCCCCGAGGTACCCGAGGTGCCCCTAAGAAGCCACAACAGGTCCCAAAGGGGGCCCGAGAGGCCCCAATCGGGCCCCTAATAGCCCCCACGAGGCCCCCGAGGCGCCCAGAAACCGCCTCCAAGAGGCTTCCGAGAGGTCTCCCAATAGACTATCGCAGGCAAAAGGGCCTCTGACCGACAACCCAGGCACCGTGAAGGAATGGGCCGAAGGCAACAATTTCATATGTATGTCTATATACATCAATTCATTCACTCATTCTATCATCTATACATGTATATCCGCCGATCCGGCGTGTGAGTTTCTGAGAGCGTGGGCTTGAGCTCGCTCAAGCTTCGCTCTGGGGGGGGGGTTCGGGATCGGGCGAATTATCCAAGCAATTCACTGAACGCTCCAGCGCGGGGGGGGGTCCAAGAATCGAGGGGGGGGGAGCTCGAGCGAGGACGGGGGGGGGGGGGTCGAGCTCAAGCGGGGGGGGGGGGGGTCCAAGGAGGAAGCTCGAGAGGGGACGGAGGGGGGGTCGAGCTCAAGCGGGGGGGGGGGCAAGAAACCGGGGAGGGCGCGGGGGGGGGAGATCCAAGAATCGAGGGGGGGGGAGCTTGAGCGAGGACGGGGGGGGGTCGAGCTCAAGCGAGGGGGGGGGGGGGTCCAAGGAGGAAGCTCGAGCGGGGACGGGGGAGGGGGGTCGAGCTCAAGCGGGGGGGGGGGGTCCAAGAAACCGGGAGGGCAGCGGGGGAGGGGGGTCCAAGAATCGAGGGGCGGGGGGGAGCTCGAGCGAGGACGGGGGGGGGTCGAGCTCAAGCGGGGGGGGGGTCCAAGGAGGAAGCTCGAGCGGTCGAGCTCACGCGGGGGGGTACCGGGGAGGGCAGCGGGGGGGGATCCAAGAATCGAAGGGGGGGGAGCTCGAGCGAGGGGGGGGGGGCCAAGGAGGAAGCTCGAGCGGGGACGGGGGGGAGGGGGGTCGAGCTCAACGGGGGGGGGATCCAAGAAACCGGGGAGAGCAGCGGAGTGGGGGGGGTCCAAGAAACCGGATCGCGGGGGGGGGCGGGGGGGGAGCTCGAGCGAGGACGGGGGGGGGTCGAGCTCAAGCGAGGGGGGGGGTCCAAGGAGGAAGCTCGAGCGGGACGGACGGGGGGGTCGAGCTCAAGCGGGGGGGGGGTCCAAGAAACCGGGGAGGGCAGCGAGGGGAAGGGGGATCCAAGAATTGAGAGGGAGGGGGGGGGAGCTCGAGCGAGGACGGGGGGAGGGGTCGAGCTCAAGCGAGGGGGGGGGGTGTCCAAGGAGGACGCTCGAGCGGGGACGGGGGAGGAGGGTCGAGCTCGAGCGGGGAGGGGGGGGTCCAAGAAACCGGGGATCGTCGTCGTCGTCGTCGACGTCGTCGTCGTCGTCATCGTCGTCGTCGGTCGTCGTCGTCATCATCGTCCGTCGTTGACCCGGTCGTCGGTCGTCGTCGTCGTCGTCGTCGTCGTCATCGTCCGTTCCCACACGCATCGGCGGCACTGGACAGAGGCCATGCATGCATGCATGCGTGCGTGCGTGCGTGCGTGCATACATGCATACCTACCTACCTACCTACCTACCTACCTACCTACCTACCTACATACATACATACATACATACATACATGCATACATGCATACATGCATACATACATACAGACATACAGACATACAGACATACAGACATACAGACATACGGACATACAGACATGCAGACATACAGACAGACAGACAGACAGACAGACAGACAGACAGACAGACGGACAT